GGAGGTATTCGATTAAAATATGATATGGTAAATATTCATGACTTATGAGCACGATCTTGGATCTTAAATGGCCTAAAGTCAGAAATGTCGATGAAGTCCAACCAGAAAAATAACTAAAGAGCCATGAAAACGTATACGGGATAAAAATGTTTAGTCCATTTTAAAAAGCTAAAAGTGGAAAGAAAAACATAGCTCTGGACATAAAAGGAAAACGTCTTTGCCTCTTCACGAATCATGTCAATAATCAGCTTTTGCTAAGTGCTCGGAAGTTTCCGATGAATTTGCTTGGGTGTTTGCTCTCTTTTGTTCGAATCCAACTACAAAATATAAACAGCCACTTTTTCATTCGTGTCGCGCATAAGCCAAATACATTGGTATTTTCATGAACAAGTTTTAAGATAGTCTGTTTCGTCTCGTTGGGGAATTCCTGTTTTAAAAGTAAGATGCACTTTACGCGGTTGACCAAGGATATAAATAACAATGATAAAAAACGGCCTTTATTACACAGTCAGGCAATATTTTGCGGATAGATGTACTCAGTACCTCGTAAAAAGGAAATGACAAAAGCCTTTCTGGGGAAAAAAGCAGTGACATAAAGAAATTCGAATCAGGATATCTGGGTACAGGAATTAAGCTCAAAAATAAAATTTGTCCTACAAATTTGCATGATAAAACCAGTCTGCGTTCGCCGGGTGGGTAAACCGTTGGCCCATCTTCTTTACTTGTTAAGGGTTCTCTGAGATTTGGCCGAGGTTTAGTGCATTTCGTTTCCATTGCAGAGTTTTGTTGCCAAAATCTTAGGTTTGCGAATTGTAAGGTGAAACCTCTTGAAGGATAAGCTCCTCAGGATCACGTAATTAAAGAAATTAATCTAACCATGGAAAATGAGCCAAACGGTGACTACAGATACCAGTGGCTTACAAAGACGCTTAAAAAATAGTGATTTAAGTTGGCATTTGAATGAACCCAAGGATTCAGCCAAGTTGATATCATCAGGGATACTATTCCACAAGAAACAAATTCTATCAAAGAGACAGTGCGAGGTACGATTTCTATTTGTCCCAAGATAAAGCTCAGTACTAACACGGCGAGAGCGTCCCCTCACAAATGGAAAATATCTATCAAAGTGTCTGGCAAAGACAACACCTCCTTTCATGCCATTATAGGAGAAACCTAAGTCTAGATATTCAAGCCAGTAATTTAGTGGCAGTAACTTAGGTTTGATTAGACGGTCCTCATGAGACAGGTCTCTGTCTTCCTACAAAAAAGCGCGTAGCTCTTCTCTGCACCTGTTCAGTAACAAATAACTGCTTTTCAATTGACTGAGGGCCCCAAACTTGTAAGCAATACTGACAAATGCGAGCGAACTAAAAAACAATAAAGTTGCAGCAGAGTTGTACAGTCCACCAGTCCGGCACAATTTCTCTTAAGGGAAACCCATCATCCTTTTTGCCTTAGCCACTATCATAAATCTGTGCTCCTTCCAAGAGGTGTCGTTTGTGATAATAACCCCAAAATCTTTTTCGGAGTTAACGACCTCTAGATCAAAACTACTTAGTTTATAATTTACTTTCCTAAGTCAAACTAAATTACTTACTTTGCGACTTAAGCAAATGTGACAAGTATCCATGATTTCAGAAGAATAATGCAATCTTACTGTCACTGACTGTAATAAAATAGAGTAAGAGTATGCAATCTAATCGTGAATAGCGTAATTCATAGAATCCTGCCTGTTACCATTTTGTAAGTACGCCGGAAAATTTCCAAAGAAAGAAAAAAAAAGCAACAACCTCCCTCCCCTCCCCGCTTAATAAACGAGGGTGATTACCTTGGTTTTGGCTTTAGCACACTTAACTAAAATGCACACTATCTATGTAACATTGGTGATGTTATAAGTCATTGTCAGGAGAAGGTTGTCTATTTGACCGCTCTAACTATCGACCCATTTCTGTTCTTGCTATTCTATCTAAGATTCTTGAACTCCATGTCCACATTTCATTTTATAACTTTCTTACTGAAAATGACCTGCCCTCTGATTCCCAGTTTGGCTTCAGAAAGTCTTGCTCCTGCGAGCTTGCTGTTACTGATCTTATCGATCGCCTCCTCGACAATATGGATACCGGAGTCCTAAATGGACTCTTGCTAGTCGATCTTAAAAAGACGTTCGACCTCGTAAATCATAGCATTCTTCTTTTAAAACTTCAAATCTATGACTGTTCATCCTCCACTGTTCAGTGGTTTACTTCTTATCTCTCTGACCGTTTTCAGTGTACTAACTTTAAGGGTACACTATCTGACCCTCTGCCTGTATCTATCGGTGTTCCACAAGCAAGCATTCTTGGTCCTCTTTTCTTTCTATTATTCATCGATGACCTCCCTTTATTTTTCCCACAGAACACTACTCTTCTATGTTTGCTGATGATACTTCAATAACTCAATCTAGTTCTGCTATCCACGAGGTAAATGCTCGCCTTAATCGTGACGTTTCTGGCGTGTTTGCGTGAGCTAATTTAAACGACATGGCCCTCAACACGTCTAAAACTAAATCTACCTTGATTACGACTCAACAAGAAATTTCATCGTCCAAATGAACATTCTATTAATGTCGTGATTAATGGGAAGTTAATTGAACAAGTTCAGCATGCTAAACTACTTGGTATTACTCTTGATTGCCATCTTACATGGGAGAAACATTCATAATTTATGTTCAATTGTAAACAGTAGATTGTCTCTCTTGAGAAGGATCAAACCGTTTCTCGGTCATCACTGTGCTCTTCGTTTCTTCAATTCTTGTACTCATAACCACCTTATCTATTGTCTCGTCTTATTCGTCTTCAAAAACGTGCAGCTAGATTGCTCTTTGATGCCGACTTCACTCAATCATCTGTAAGCTTATTTTCCAAACTCAAATGGCTTTCTATTTTCGACCTTATAAAACTAAGAAAACTTGTACTTTTATTTACTATCACCAATAATCCTGACGCTCCTTTTTGTCTTAAACGCAAATTCAATTTCTTGTCTTCCGTTCGTCCAACTGGCTTGCGCACCAGAGCTTGCGCTTTTAATCTTCAAGTTCCCTACCCGCACCCGCGGTCTAATTCTGGAAAGCGCACATTTGCTTACTCTGCTGCAACCCTTTTCAATTGCCTTGAGAATGATCTTAAGCAAATAGGTTGTGTATCTCCTTCCTCTATTATTTTTTCATCTAGATTAAATAATTTTAAGCATAAACTTCTTATATTATTCCTTAAGTTTGTTAGTAATGTTTCTCATCTTGAAGAATTAATGTGTTATGGGTGTCGTTTTTCTCTTTACTGTAACTGTATTAGAAGGTAATTAGTGTTTATCACCTTATATCTATGTTGAACCAAATATTTGTATAGTTTTAGTTTCTCTTGTAGTTTTGATAAGTAGTTTTTTAGAAAAGCTTTTCAAGATAAAAATTAGTGATAATAATTTTGAACGACGTTTCGACCTCGCTGAGATCATTTTCAAGCTGATGAGAAGGAAAAATTTTTACATATATGTAATAAATTCAATGCGTGGGAATGATAAAGGCGATAAAATATGGAAATATGTAAACGCTAGGCTTGAAATAGACGTGATAAAATTGCAAAGGAGACAATACGAACAAATTAATATGAGAGTTGACGAAAGTAAAACTATAAATTATACGAAGATACCGTAAATCATTATAAAAATAGCTTTGCACGGATTGAGTCTGACTGTTTGTTCAAGCTTGGCTTAATTTATTTTATGAAAAGCATCTCGTAAATTTCATACAGAATTTAAGACAATCAACCTCTCATTCAAAGCTGTATAAATTCAGTAGGATGTTTATTAAAGTAGGTGAAATATTTACAATATGTCAGCATTTTGTATCATTTAATATGATAGAGATGGTTTACAAAGTGAACAATCTTTCTGCATGTAAACAAGTGTAAGAAAATACATGCCATTAATTCTCAATGGAAGGATTGTTAAATAGTCTAGCAGTTGAATAAGGAAATGATCTTAAACTGACCTAAATCAGATTGTATTGAAATTCTGGAATTTGCCTGCGAGTCGCATAACGATGTTTAATCAGTTGGCTGCTTGGCTTTCGGACCTCAATGTTCAACTGCAATATAGGCGACTTCCTTAGTTAATTTCGTGCATCAGAATACTCGAGTTGCCAGCACTGTCGTGGTTATACCTGAGCATTGATTTTCCAGTCAACATCTCAGCTTTATAGAGCATGGTTACTGTAATTAGGCAGATTGATTACATTCTGAGCGATTTCTCCGCTGTTCCTCGAGTAAACTTAATGGCTGAACTCATTATTGCATTTTTATGACCTTTTAGTACACATTGCAAATAATACTATATATAAGTACATACCAGGTTAATTGACAACAACTAAGTTACAACAGCGGAGCGTCAATCTTTACTCTGAAATAACGTTTTTAAAGGAAATACTTTATACAAATGGATATTCTCTTGCTTCATGTAAGACTTTCTTCAACAAGTATAATATTTCTGACCTTATATACAAAATAGAAGCGCAATGGAAGAGTAAATATTTCTCGTCGATTACACTTTCTCTTCGTGATGTTAGTGTAAATAATGTAAATAGCTGCCTTCCTAAGTCAAACTTAAATTGTAACTCTAAGTAAATTTAAGAAGTATCCACGATTTAAGGAGAATAATGTCAGTGACTGTGCTATATGTAGAGTAAGTGTATGCAATCTTATCGTGAGTAGTTCACGATTCATAGGATCTTGCGTGTAAATGTTTTGTAGGTACAACACAAACTTTTCTAGCAACGAAAAAAAGAAACATAATACCCCCGCCCCCTTCCCCCTCAGTAAGGTGATTACAATCTATGTAACATTGGTATTGTGAGTGATTTTACAAATCTTATCAAATAATAAATAGTATGTAGAATACAAATGAAATGAAATGAAATTGATAAAGCATAGAAGTTAGTTCTTCAGACTTCATCAATCAACATCCTTAACGACAACACGTAACAACTATCTTTATCAAGAACAAATTTTTAGCCAAGAAATCGTCACTTGTTCCAACCTGCCACATTTATGTCAAATTACTGCTTGTTCTTTTGGTTACTCAAAACCATAATCAGTTACAAAAAAATGAAAACAATTCGAAGACGACATAAAACAGGGACCGGAAATAAGCAAGTAAGGGAGGAGGAGAACTGGGTATGAGTTTTTCAGGCCCTCACGTCTTCCTCGGCCAATATGCCGGCTAAACTTTGTTGCATTTTACTGGTATTCGCCAAATGACCTTGGAGAAACATGCATGTTTACCTCCCAAGACTCAGGGTTAGTACTGCTAGGAAAACGTTTTCAAGGCTATTTTGCTCTTCGCCAAGAATCGGATATAACTTTTATGACGAAACTGAGGTACGAGAGAAATTCAGACTTTTGGGAACCGGTGATGTGACTCTATCTAAGCTAACAGGGAATCACAAGGGAGTTGCAGTGATATCTCTGATCAATCCTGCAAGGAAAAATGCACTTTCAGGGTACATGATGGTTAAACTTGCAGAAGTAGTAGACGAACTTGAACAATGGCTGCATGGAAAAGCTGTTGTTTTGCATGGCAGCGAAGGGTCTTTTTGTTCAGGGGCTGATTTGAGTGTAATAAAGGCGATCAATACCCCTGAAGAAGGAACCCTAATGTGTGCTTTTATGCAAAGAACTCTGAGTCGTTTGGGAAGGCTCCCTCTCGTCAGTGTGGCAGCTATTGAAGGAAGAGCACTAGGTGGAGGAGCTGAAGTAAGTAGTCTGAATGCATAAAGAGCAGCTTAAGAGGTAAAGAAGGGAGGGANGAGAGAGAGAGAGAGAGAGAGAGAGAGAGAGAGAGAGAGAGAGAGAGAGAGAGAGAGAGTGTGTGTAACTCAAGCGTGTACACAAGAATGTTTTGTTATGATGTAAATGTCCAAACATGGAAGAATTTTTGCAAAACCTTCTTGTATCTCTTAAAAAAGAGCACATCCTATAAAATTCAAAATATGCATACTAAAATGTTACTACAATGATGACACTCATAAACTTAATTGAACTTTAATTTCTGTTTGTTAATTCTGTGCATAAACAGGATAAGGAACTGATTTAAACAAATATTTGTATTTTGAAGTCCTTTATTTGTCCACATACACACTTAGGGTGAAATAACTTCTTCCAAGTTGTAAAAAGAGAATGCTATTAAGTTACAGAGTTAAAAACCAATAACTGTAACACCTTTGACTGTCCCATTGTAGCTTGCTGATATGTTGAGTCTGACTCCATGATCCCCAGTTGTAACTGGAAAAAAAATTCTGTGCATCATTCAGTAGTTAGGTTGATGAAATAAAGATAGCTACTGTGGGAAGTGTAGCTTTTTTATGCTAATTCTTGCTTCCACCCATCACAATACCATGACCAGAAAAAAAGATTCTCTTCAGCCTTTTGTGTGGTGAAGCAACTCTTGACATCACTTTACGAAAACTTGACAGCACTTGGAAAGTTTTTTTTAAGGAATCTGTCTTTTATACTATTCTTTCTGATACTAGTTTAACTATCAGTTTCTTTTTCACTATCTTCAGCTTCTTCATCCTTTTCTGCCTCATCCAAAGCATCTAAGGTTAGGGCTCCAACCGAAAGAGCTTCACGGTTCCTTGCTGCTGTAACCAGGCTGCGAGGATGAGGTGGAAGAATTCCAGCCTTGTGAAGAGAAATAAGTTTGTTTCTGATAAGTTTAAAGACTGTCAACATTTAATTCTACAATTGAGTTTAAAATGTGGTAGATTGGGTGACATGTTCACACATTCTTAAAAGGCTTCCAGTTCAAAAGTTATGATTTGCGAGCTGAGTGTACATGCAGGTGATCTTTGCATTCGGTCGTCTTAAAAAGTGTTCCAAATTTGAAAATTTTATTTAGTACAAGTCAGCCAGTCTTGAAGTATATGCATCCTGAAATTATCTTAATAAGTGTACTGTGAAATTAAGGGTTCTACAAAAAGAACCTGTGCTATGTCAGATACAAAATCTAACAAAAAAACCCCTCTTTAGAACTGGCCAAAAAGTATGTGGAAAGGCATTTATCATCTAACACAGCAGCACAATACCCTGAGGACAGGGTAAACTAACCTGGTTACACCACTAGTCACAAAGAAAAATCCATGAATGTGGTAATATTTTACAGGGATTTGGAAAACGAAATTTACATCAGATACAAAAAAAGAAAAAAAAAAGAAAGTGGTCAAACAAGACTGACCGACCTTGAATGACTTAATTTTCCCACAAAACGCTTAAATAACTCGAAACTTCCATGATGCCACGTGAACCTCTTCAACATGCTATCAGAATATTAATTAAGAATTAGGTTCAAGTCGTAATTTGTCATCAACTTACCAGGCCTAATAAAATGGCCACTGGTCGAGAGGGTCTTGCTCCAACTGATAGCCAGTACCTGAAAAAAAAAAAAATGCATTTATAAGAGGACATCACGATCACATCCAGTTGTTGTAGTCTGCAAAAATTTCTTTCATAAAAGTATCGAAAACTGTTGAAAGCAAGTCTGGCCAAAGTCCCCCGCAAAGTGTTGTAAAGTACCATGAGCTATATGATATGGCGCTATGGAAATCCTTCTTTATGTCACATTGTGTTAAAATGTCTGGTGTTGTCACCACTTAAAAGGTGGAGAAAGGGTATAGATCAAAAATGATAATTCACTGCATTTCTAGATATTACCTTATTCTGTCCATGTTTAAGCTCACTAGCTTTTCATTCAGAGTGTTTGGCAAAGGATCATACGTTCCCACCTAGGAATATGATTGAACCATCTTAATAAAACCGTAAATACAAAATTATACAGCCAATAGCTCAACTCCTGGCCTGTACACCTACATACTGTACTGCCATGAAATTTTACCTGTCCTCTTCCAATGATGAACTTTTTATTATTGGCTAGTGAGTTGAATATATACCTGCTCAAGAGCTCCATAGTTTCGGGGTCGTTTCCTGTTCGTTGCCACAATATGAAAGAAAGGCCTATTCTTGCAGCCATAAAGAGCCAAACGCAGCGTAACGATAGTTTTCAGCTTCTTCATGTTCAGTGGGAAAGATGACCGCGCAGAAGCAATCAGGCAGGCGTTCGTATAAGTAAACGCGCGGGATCTGAGTAGAGTAGGACCCAGACTTTTAAGGTAGGAAACAATATGGCGGCAGATGTGACACTTTGTCCGTTGTTCATATAGAGATACAGCTAAATTTACTTCAATGTTGTGGAAGAAGCAGTGAACTTCAGAAATAAATGTCCACTTCAAGTTCTTTATGGAGGGTAAAATTAATTCTTCCAGACTTTCTACGAAGACTTCTCAGGTATACAACCGTTCGGGCTGCATGATCATGAAAAAAATCATACAAGTTGTTTGCTGTTTGTAGAGTGGATTTTAATGTTTACTGTGCATCATTTAGCTTAATTTTATAAAATTGGATGTTTTGTATTGTATCTAGGTTTTGGTGCAGCCCCTGGATGATTCAAAGATAAGAAATTTGCTTCATAGTCTACAGGATGTAGTGAAATCAGCTCTTGGACCTTCTGGCAGGTTGGATTTGATCATTGCATATGTGCCAATCAAGTCAACTATTTGGTATTCGTGCCAACGTTCTTTTATGGGATTTA